TTCGTGGCCCCATAGGGAGCTCCACCGAAGCCCCCACTGGGACCGCCCGCGTGCGTCCTGGAAAACCAAATGTGGCATTTTTAACCCACCCAGTACAGCGTCTCGTGGTCCCAGAGGGAGTTCCACCAAAGTCCCCAGTGGGACCGCCCGCATGCGTTCCGGAACACCCAATTTGGCATTTTCACACATCCACTACCGCGTTTCGTGGCCCCATAGGGAGCTCCACCGAAGAAGCCCCCACTGCCATCGCCCGCGTGCTTCCCACGCGCCCAATTTGGCATTTTCGCCCACCCAGCACAGCGTTCCCACCCAGTACGCGGTATCGTGGCCCCATACGGCGCCGCCGCTGTCCGCTCGCCGGGGGGCTCCGCGGGGTAGGGCGGCGCCGCCGCTGCCGCCTGCTCGCCGAGGGGCTCAGCGAGGTCCTCCGCGAGGTAGGGCGCCGCCGCCGCCGCCGCCTGCTTGCCGAGCGAAGCAGCGAAGCCGGGCGCCGCCGCCGCCCGCCGCCTGCTCGCCGAAGGTCTCCCTGGGGTAGGGCGCCGCCGCCGCCGCCAACGCCTGCTCGCCGAAGAGCACCGCGTCGGGCAGTAGGTATTGCCGCAGCGGGGCGAAGGGCCGCGCCCCTCCGCGCAGCGCCCCGTCCGCGTTGGCCAGGGCTGGCCCGCCGCCTCCGCCAGCAGCGAAGGCTCCAGCTCGTCCGCCCGCGCTGCTCCAGGCGGCGGCCTTGGGGGGCGCGCGCGGCCTGGGGGTGGCGCGTGCCTCGCCCAGTTCCTGTGGGCCAGGTGCTCTTGCGCCTCCGCGAGCACCCCCGCTGGGCAGCCAAGCAGCTGTCCCATGGCCACCGCCTCCCCGAAACAGGGAGCATGGCCGCCCAGGCGGCCGCCCAGCGCCCAGTGTGCGGCCAGGGCCTCGCGCAGGTCCCTCGTGCTGCAGGCCAGCGCCGCTGCCCGCGATTGCCCCCGCTCCTGCCAGCGCTGACGCTGCAGCCGCCGCTCCAGCGTGCGGGCGGTAGCCGCAGCCCACGCCCGTCCATCCATGGCCCCTGGACCGCCCGCCCGCGTGCACCGCGCGCGCCGCTAAGGCCTCCCGCGCCCGAGCTCGCTTGAGCCAACATGTCTACCGATGATGATGACTTCCGCAGGCCGAAAGAGTTTTTTCTTGAACCTCACATGTCGGATGCGACGCGCCGTTCAGGTGAGCGGATACATGTAGCGCTCTCTTCGAGGTGGGGTAGATCACCGACCACCACGGAAATTATTCCCACAGGGAAAATAAAATTCGGGGTCGCGAGGGGATTATACATGTTGCCTATCGGAGACCAGCATGTGGGAGGAGAAAGAGATGATGTTAAGAGGACCGAAAGCCGAGGATCGAGGATCGAGATCCCGGAGTCGAGGATCGAGGTCCGAGGATCAACGGCGGCGAGGTCGAGGTCCGAGGATCGAGGATTTTCGGGAGATGGCCAGGCCCGCGGTGGCGCTCGAGCAACCACATGTTATGGGAGAAGTGAAGGGAGGTGGCCGGGCCCGCTGTGGCGCTCGAACTTCCGACTTGGATACTTTGCTTGTGTGTCCACGCCCTCCGTCATCCCTTCCTCCCCTCCTCCTCCCACTTCCCCCCCTCCTCCCACCTCCTCCCTCCTCCTCCTCCTTCGTCCGTCCGCCTCCCTCCTCTTTCCTCCCTCCTCCCTCATCCTCCTTCTCCTTCTCCTCTTCCCTGTTCCCTGAGTATTTATCCTCTCTCCCCCCCTGCGTCCCCTCTGTTATCCTCCCACCTCCTCTTTGCCTCTTCCCTCATCCTTCCCCTCTTCATCCTGGGAAGACCCCCCTCCCCCGTAGAATCATAGCATTGGTCTGAATATCCACAGCTCCGTGGATAGCATGATGCTTCACTTGCGGTGCCCCGCGGATCCCATGTCCCCTGGGTCCTGGATGTTAGTTATTGTTATATATCGATCCCCGGGAAATGAATGGATCCATGGCTTTTTTCCACACGCAGGACATTGGATCCGCGCGACACAGAAATAGGATCCACGAAACTCCCCCACACCCGAAACAATGATCAAATTGGATCCATGGATGTCTTCATATTTTAGTCCAATAGGAAAAAACTTTCGGCCAGGGGATGGATGGATGATGATGATGACGATGAGGACGATGATGACGATGCTAATGGTAATGTTGCTGATGCTGATGCGGATTCTGATGCTGATGCTGATGCTGATGCTGCTGATGATGCAGATGATGATGCTGATGTGCTGATGTTGATGTTGATGTTGGGTCTGATGCTGATGCTGATGCTGATGTTGATGCTGATGCTGATGCTGATGCTGATACTGATGATGATGATGCTGGTGATGCTGCAGTTGATGCTGATTATGATGCTGATGCTGATGCTGATGTTGCTGGTGGTGATGATGACGATTATGGTGGTGGTGGTGATGATGGTGATGTCGATGAGAGTGATGATGATGACGATGCTGATGCTAATGATGATGCTGATGCTGATGCCGATGAAGATGCGGATGCCGATGCCGATGATGATGATGGTGATGATGATGCTGATGCGGATGATGTTGTTGCTGATGGGAATAATGTTGATGATGCTGATGACGATGCTGATGCTGCTGATGATGACGATGTTGCTGATGATGCTGAGGATGATACGGATTTCAATGATAATGATGGTGATGCTGATGCTGATGATAATGATGGTGATGCTGATGGTGATGATGCTGATGCTGATTCTGATGCTGCTGCTGATGATGATTATCATCATCATGACCATGATGGTGATTGGTGGGGATGATGATTATGATGATGATGGTGGTGGTGGTGGTGGTTGTGGTGATGATGATGGTGATGATGATGATGGTGGTGGTGGTGGTGGTGATGGTGGTGATGATGATGACGACGATGGCGGTGATGATCGTGGGTATTTGGACTGTCGTGTGGAGTTCGGCGGTCATGTGAGTTCCCAGCCGATATGTTGTTGTTTTGGCGGGGAATGCAGCAATTTCGCAATTGTTGCCACTTCGCGGGCTCCCTGGAGGCTCCACACCAGGAATAGAGGAGGAAGGACGAGGTGAGGGAGTCGGGGCTGGAGCCGGGGAGGGGGTCGGCGGGAGGATGTTGTATGATCTAGGAGGAGGTTGGAGGAATGTATGGGGGCGTGGGAGGAGGTGGCGGGGATGACAAGCAACAGGTACACCGCACTCACATCTATACCCTTGGGTGGGTGTATGTGCGGCCGTTTTTGCGCTGTCATGTGCGCGCATGTGCGCGGCATGTGCCAGTCATGTGCCAGGCCTGTGCGGTCCTTCTTGGATGGACTTCCTACTGTGCACGTCGTGCCCGGGCATGTGCGGGGGCATGTGCGCTGTGTTTTGATGTATCCATCATACGCACATGCACGCACAGTCCGACGCACATGCGCGCACATGCCTGCACATGCGGGAGGTGTTCGAGAATCGCAGATCTGTCATCGGCACATGCACGCACATGCCTGTGCAACCTCTCTTCGGGAGGCCGCGCGGGCCCGCACATGCACGCACATGCGGTGAAGCGCGCGGGCGCACATGCGTGCACATCCCAATGCACATGCACGCTCATGCCCTAGGAGCTGTCTGGGACCCCTGTGCCTCCAATGCCTCCTGGCCTTCGCAGAGCTAGCCTGGGGCGTGCCAGGGTTTCCTGAAAGAGTTTGTTGTGCGTTTAGAATCGCCCGCTGCTGGCGGGGGCGGTTATTCGCCCGGTTCGTGAGCTGGCGGTGGCGCGCCCGCCTAATAAAATACTCTCCCGCGCGCCTTCTCAGCTCGGCCGGAGAAGCAGGGATGGGGGGGGGGGAGGTGGAGGGGGGGGGGAGGAGGGGGGGGCGGAGGAGGCGGGCGCCCCCGGCCACTGGCCAGCCTGCCTGTTCGGCTCGGCCAGAGGAGGAGGAGGAGGAGGAGGAGGAGGAGGAGGAGGAGGAGGAGGAGGTGAGAGTTGCGAGGCTGTCTCAGGCGAAAGTGGCTTGACGGCCCGAGCTCAGGGAATCTCGGAATCGCTGGCCTGGCTCGGCCACCGGCGAGCTCGGCCTGTGCGAATACTGTGCGTACCTGTGCAGTGCATGTGCGGGACGTGCAAGAATGCCGGGGCCGGCGTTCGTCTCCGGACGCCGGCGCGTTCGCGTCCGGCCAGTTCCGCGTGAGACGTCGTCGGCAATTTGGAGGCCGACGTGCTTTGACATGAAGTGGTCTGGCCACCTTCGCCTGAGACA